GTATAAGAGGAAATACCTACAAACTCATTGAAAGTTATTTATCAGATAGGGATCAAATAGTAGAAATCGATGGAGTAATGAGCACACCGCAAACAATTACTTACGGTGTACCTCAAGGAACCGTTCTTGGTCCACTTCTGTTCCTTTTATATATTAATAGTATGCTTTCCTTGAATATTCAGGGTGAGCTCATCAGTTTTGCAGATGACACTGTAGTATTTTATAATTCATCCAACTGGCAAGATCTAAAAAATAAAATAGAAAATGATTTTCCTTTTATTACTAAATGGTTACAATTCAATAAATTAACGCTTAACTCTAGTAAAACAAACTACTTACCTTTTTCATCCTACCTAACTGGGTTACCTAACTTGGGGCCACTGAACATCGGGACGACTAACCACATTGTAGAAGCAGAAAAAGTAAAATACCTCGGTATTACAATTGATCGTCATATGAGATGGGATCTACAATGTAAGGAAATAGTAAAAAAAATAAGAGGTCATTTGCCAAAATTTAGGTATTTAAAGGAAATTCTTGAAGTTGAGGAATTAAAAGTCTTGTATTTCTCACTGGTTGAGTCACTGCTTTCTTATGGTATTTTAGGTTGGGGTGGAGTAAATGACTGTTTCTTAAATAGTGTTCATATTGTACAAAAATGGCTTTTAAGAATCATATTCCAAAAAAATATTTTATTTTCCTCAGATCAATTATATCTAGATGCCCAAGTAAAAAATGTACGACAAATTTTCGTTCAAAAAATATTGTTTTTTATATTTCAAAATAAAATAAAATTTGTACATCATGAACACTCTTATAATACTAGGAGATATGAAGGGATCGTTTTCCCACGAAGTGAAAAAAACTATCGGGAAAAGAAATACTAACTATTTAGCCCCAAGAATTTACGTGCTGTTATCTAATGATATAAAAAACTCAAAAAGTTTTAATTTATATAAAAATCGAATTAAAAAATGGATTATGGAAACAGAGAGACGATTTTTTACCGATATAGTAAATCAAACTCTACAGTGACAAAAGTAGCCATTTCAAGAATATGTGTCTGCAAGATTATGTGTCTGATATTTTAATTTTAATTTTAACTTACCTCTATTCTGTCCTTATACCCCGAATGTGTCTTAAACTGGATTTGACAATATATTTTTTTTTTTTCACTGGGTTTGACAAAAACCCTGTTTGTGTCGCCCAAAAAAGGCAAAACAAACTGTATTAAGGTCACAATACAAGTAGTTCTAAAAACTACTTCTGTGGCTTAACTTTGTTTATTCACCCTCTACTTAGTATGTATTATTTTAATGAGGTAGTTACTAAGTCTTTTTAATAATATGTTACTTGTATTTATCCTAACTTTTATGTATCTATCCTTATATTTATATTTACTATTGAATTTATGTACTGTACTGAATTGAATTGAATAAACATTATTATTATTATTATTATTATTATTATTATTATAAAGAATTTTCTAACAAGTGTTTATGATTATTATTGAATCTCTGCAAATAATTCAGGTCTAAAAGATAGGTTCACAATGAATTAGTATTGTAATTTTCAGGGAAAACACAATTGTTGCTGTCATGTCTTATGTGATTTTTTGTTTATTGAATAAAAAAATTTAACCACTTTGCTCGGGATAGAGATTGGCGCAGGTGCAATTTGGTGAAGTACAATGTTGTTACATGCCTTTGGAGCATATTTCATTTTGTTATCAGATGACGGTCGAAATTTGCATTGTGCTCTCTTACTATACTGCCGTGTGAAGGTAAAGAGCAGTAAGTAACATTTTTGTAAAAAATGAGATATTAATGTTACATACCTAAGCAGTAACTGCGCTAACTTCAGATATGGTTTGGTGCACATTTATAAATCAACTTAGGCCAGAATCAAATAGGTAAATCGCAGTATCTGACAATGTGACCCCTCATTGTTACAGTAAAAGGCAGTATCTAACTTAATAACCAATTACTGCTATTTACCTACAAAGTTTCTTAAAACATAAATTCAAATGTGAATATAAAGGAGCAGTATCTACTTTTTATTTAATTACTACCTTTTTCCTTCACATTTTTTATATTTAATAATTGTAATACGTCAATACATAAGTAAGTATCTACCCAGATACTGCCTTTTTCCTAAACATAATATGTTTGGTTAGTTGTTCTCTGTTCTTTAGCGGGCGCAGACTTGTTAGTACGTCAACTGTAATTTGAAGCAGTTTTTTTTTTGTTTATACTTATAAATAAAATGTTGTCACGGAGCAAGTATTTAGCTTAAGGAAGGTACTAAAGATAGTGAGGTAGTGGCAGAAGTATCATATCAAGAAGGTAAGCACTTGGTTTTGCAATAAATGCGACTTAAACTAAAAATAATAAATTACATTTCGCATACGTGGTCATAATAAAAAGAAATAAGAAAAACACCAAATCATTACCACAAAACATGTTATAACATGTGGTACTGATTTGATGATTTTTTTTTATTTTTTTTTTTTTCAATATACCAAATATTTTAGACCTTCTACCGCCCGAAATATCAACATCGCCTAACAAAGCACAAAACGATGAAGAAATAGGCCAAATTACTGAATACTCTGACGACTCAATTGATAATCCAAATTATCAACAACCTGAGAGTTCAGAAGATAATACAAGTTCGGTAAATAATGAACCGGAAAACATAAATGATGAAATAATTCGCACCCGAAAACGGAAAAGACTAAGAAAATCCAAACAAAAGGGCAGACCCTTGCTGTGCGATATATCTGTGGTACAATTTATACGAAGTAGCAGATTACTATTTTATAAAAATAATATTAACGACGAAAGCTTTAAGGAATATAATTTACTTAAAGTAAATTTTAAACTACGAGATCATTTTAGAAACAAGGAATAATTTCGCAACTGTGCCAATCATGCCTGAAAACCACATACTTTGATTACTATACGGGGCAAGAGAGAGGTCCGACACACCCAACATAGGGCGCGGCCATTTTGATCCCTATGACACAGTTTATAGCTAAAGAATCAGAGCGCTCACTCTGCGTCGGCACTTTTGATCTCAATGTTCCAGTTTATACACTGCGCAACTCGGATAATACAATATATGACAACCGCCTATAATAAAACAGCAGTCTTCTGCGTATCCTGAATTTGCATTCCTGGAGTGGATGTTATTTTGGAACTTTCAACTGGTCCGAGTGAGCTAACTGATTCTTTAGAAATAAACTGTGACTCCAAAAATAATATTCACTGACCCTGACAGCAGCACGCAAAATATCAAGTGCGTTTTATTCATCCGCTTCTGCTTCCGGAATTGTCGGTTTAGTCGTTTTAACCTGTCAGATTAAAACAAGACAACCGACAATTCCGAAGCAGAAGCGGATGATTAAAACGCACCTATTAAAAATATTGTGCCAAGATGTAGGCAACACGTAATAAGGGATTAAAATGGCGGAGTTTTCTATCTCCTTTTAAAAGGCACTCAGAAAGCTGCGCAGTGCGACCATTCTCCGTATAGTAAAAGAAAATCAAAGTATGTGCTGAAAACAGACGACAGTTCTAGCTTTCATTAAAACAAGATGACGTAGAAGACTTGATAGATAATTACCAATAATTTTTAAATTATGTAGGTACCTACCTACGAATGTTTTCTTTTAGTTTCATGTCATTTAATGTACTTTTGCTTTATTTTTTGATAAACTTTTGCTTTATTTTGTATTTGTTTTATTTATTTTGGAGATGGTATTATTTACATAAAGCTGGAAAATTACTTACATTTACTGCTTGTTAATAATAAATTGATATGTACTACTGTTAGGGTAAACAGCAGTAACTGCTGAATTTTCAGCAAAAATCAAAGTGAGAAAATTTTACTTTTTTCTAAAAAATAATACTTATACAGTAACGTTATATAATGTTTTTTATTTAAAATAGAAATAAAAATAAATTGCGTAGAACAAAAAACACTAAATTGGCAATAACTCAAAATCATTATTGTTGTACTAACTGCTCTTTACCTTCACACGGCAGTGTATGACAACCGCCTATATTCAAACAGCAGTCTTCTGCGCATCTTAATTTGTATCCCTGGAGTGGATGTTATTTTAGAACATCCAGTTGGTCCGAGTGAGCTAACTGATTCGTTAGGTATAAACTGTGGTATAGCACCATTACATGTGGACCAGCCCCGCCCTTCTTGATCATGTTATTCATCACTGTTGTTCCAATCAGTTTTGTTTTTTGGTGTTTTTTTATACGCACTATGAATCTATAAATGAACCCGCAGTTGTAATCAAAGTAAACATAAAAATAAAAAATATAATAGCTTTTCAATAAAAAACAAATAGACACAGATATTTTATGAACGTTACAATTTTTTTAATATTATTGCATATTGGGATCTATTCTGTAACAATTCCTTTATATTTAACGGCCTTTAAAAATATTGGCGGCCTTTAAAAGTATATTTGTATTCGTTAATTTACTTCTGTCATTATTTAAACAGATTTCTTTAAGATAGTACTCTAATGTATTTTAAAGATCCGTTTAAATAATGACAGAAGTAAAGAAGAAAATATTTTTAAAGGCCGTTAAATATAAAGGAATTGTTACAGAATAGACCCCATAATATGTTAATTAGTAATTAGTTATCAAGGACCGTCTCAATGATAAACATCCAGTGAATTTCGAAATGTATACATAACTACAATTATTAGGATTGTAGATACGTAATAATATCCCAAATGTAACATGAGGCGCCATTTAGTCTCAAACTTATTGATTTTCCACATTCTCTAATCGAAATTGAACAAGAAGATCCTTTGTTTTTTTTTATCTATAACAGAATTTAATTAAGGACAAATTTAACTAACATAGATTGTACTATTTGAAAACACGTACAGGATGGCCCAATACTATTTTTTTACCTAATTCAATATTAATGTAATTTTATTTATAAAACAATGTGCATTTTCTTTTTAGCGTACATTTATGGGCTTGCAATATTAGTGATAAATTAACAAAACTTAGTAAAAAAATGACAAGAGAAGATAAAGTTGAAGAAGTAAGTCAGAAATAAATAATTTATAAGATGCGTTGCTATTAAATAACAATAATCAATAGTTGGATAAATATTCAGAAATTTAGATAGTTGTAGAATATGGTACTTTATCTTTTACCATGTTATGTTGGGAATGGAGTGTTAATACACAGCGACCTAAAAGATCTATTGTGTCAACTTGGGTCGCTAATGCAGCAAGGAGATCTCTCAATGCCTATAACGACCCTTCCAATCTTATCTTTGGAGTGACTTTAAGTTAGATAAATCTCCCTCTTCTATTTGATAAGCTCCGAGGAATCTGGAGTGCCACACATTCAGTCAGAATATGAATGGAGGTTTCGTCCTCCTCCTCACAGAATCTGCACTCACTCGTTTTTACCTCTCTCATTTACTTACCATATTCTAGAACCAACAAAATAGTGAATTATAAAAACAAAAAAGTCTTTCTTTTTATTTTCCTTTTTCTTTTCTTTTTCTTTTTTTCTTTTATTGGTATTTCTTAGCCACACATCACTATAACCAATTAAGTTAAATAGATGTAAAAAAAAATGTTTCAAAAATACTTTTAAATGTATGAAAAGAGTTTTAGAATTCTTGAAGATAAATTAATTAAAGAAGACGCAAAAGATCTTGTACATGACGTTGCCTATGATATGGAAGACATGATAAAGAAGAAGGAAGAAGCGGTACATGTACGTATTACCCGCCTAATACAGAAATTAATAAATCTGTAAAATATTTTTTTATTTTTAGAACATTGCTGAGTACATGGAGTTTATTTCTTTCCACAGAAACAAGTCGCCAATTTTTGAAAATTCTTCTTACTATTTTTTCAACGCTGATAACTTAACAAATACGAAGCCTACTGCGGAAAGGTTGGAAGAACTGCATAACATTATTCTCAATGTAAATATCTGTCATCACCATTATTTTTTATTGCAAAAATATTTTTTATTCCATTTAGTAAATGTGAGGAATTCTTTTAAAACAATACTGTGGGGGTTTGAAACCTACCTCTTTACAAAATTGTACAGAAGTTGGTAAAAGTTAGGTTGGAATTAATATTCTCAATTTTTCTCAGATAATATTCGGTTAATCACACTTTTTTAAATTTACTTTACAAAATGGGTACTTTTTAGTGTTATTATTTGCTCCTAAAATTTGGCAATGTATTTAAAATAAACTACAAACAGAAATTTTGTCTAGAAAAAAAAAGCACTAAATAGATATACAAAAGTTATTTATGCAACAAGTGCAAAAAGTAAGTCGAGTGCAATAAACACTTTTTGCACGAGTTCATGCAAAAACCAAAAAATATTTTATTTAGGCGACACTAAGTGCAGAAGAATAACAAGCGTATTTTAATAGCAACATATTTAATAACCAATAATTAGCATCGATTAACATTGAAAAAGTACTATAACTCTGTTAAGAAAAATAATTTAACCAAAACTTTAGGAACAACTGTGTTATGAACAATATAATCAAGCTTAAACGTTGTTTTTGTCACTAATATTAAAAGTAAATGTAAAATTTGTACAATTTTCAATATTAATATTTTTTAAAACGTAATACAATCTCACAGAAAATATAAATGGACTAAATATTTGGCGTCGATATGCCATGATTATAAAACGCTGTAGTAAAATGACAGATTAGTGCAATAAAGAACCAGTTTTTTCACTAAATATAGTTCAATAAAGTTTTGTTTTTTGCATGAACGTAGAAAAACTATCTTTAAAACACTAAACAAATAAAACAATCAGAATTAATATCGCACAAAATGGAAGTCATGACTTTATTTGGTTACTGCAGTGCGCTTGCGTCTCTCTGAATACACTCCGAACCTGATCAATCTGCTGTTAACTATGCGCAACTCCTTCTTAGAGCTTGTTGCTAAAATGTATTTAAGAGGTACAATCTGTTCACTATACTTACGCGAGTTTCGAATTAAAAATGTTATGAGTATTTCCAAGTATGTACCCGAAAGTTTGACCTGTTCTTTGGGGAAATATCAACTGGTTAAATGAAATGAAAAATAATGTACAACTTTTTAATTAAATAATAATGTAGAATCTTTTATATAATTGAGAGCAGAATTAAACTTCTTCATTATTATATGGCTATTATAAACCTAATATTAATTTTACATTACACTTCACACAGAAAATATGGTCTATGTATAATAAGAGAGTTATTTAGCTCAAATAAAATATTTTCTAACATAAAAATTTGTTCCATGTAGAGAATTTCAAATGAAAAATAAAAAAATTGAACTTGCCAACAAAAATGAAAATCAGTCATTATCATCCAAAATATTACAATCGTCATCATCATCACTGCCATCACCATTAATTGTTATTATGATTGGACTTATTTCGTTTTTTTTTATTTTCACTAGTCCACCAATCTTCTATTAGTTTCTCGCACTTGGATATACAGTTCCGCCACACTTCTGGAGTTGCAATTGAAAGTGCTTTTCGCCAAGTTTCCCGAACAACGTCATCACTATAACCATTAGGCCCAATATGGTTGTCATAATATTGTTTTGCTACTCCCCATATATATTCGATGGGATTAAACTGGCAATGATACGGTAGCAGACGTAAAACTTGATGACCGTAACTTTCAATAATCTGATCCACAACAAAGGTTTTTGGTTTTTGCGTGTATATTTGCCAAGCGTAATAATTCTGATTTTATTATATATATTGAGAAAATGGTATATGTTCCTTTGTTAACCATTCTTTAATTTTATCAAAAGTCCAAGAATTCGTTGGACTTTTGTTTAATACTTCAGAATGGTAAGGTGCATTGTGTAAATTAATTACGCTGGGCTCACTTAAACCTGGAAGAAGTTTTTCATGCAACCATTTACAAACATTTCTGTATTCTTATTATCGTGATAGTCACTGGATTTTGATTTAGATGAAAATATTAAATCAGCACCTTCTATAAAACCCGAATTCCCTCCTGCATGTAGAATTATGTGACGCATATTCTCTTAGTTGCATCCCTAAAAAATATCCATGTTTCGTCTAAATATATAAAATTCGCCCCTTCTTCTGTAAATTTAGAATATTTTTTTAGAAAGTTAATTATCTTATGCACGACAGAACTTCTTTCACAAAAGGCCTTTCTGTTATTCTCCTTTTGAAATTTGAAACCCAAGTTATGTATCAATTGCCATAGACTTGTTCTGCCAATGTCGGCAAATTAACTATCTATTAATTTTGAGAGAATTGTATTTAAAGTCACATGTTCTTTGTTGGCCCTCATTCGATAAATAATATCACGAATTTCAAATTTCTTTCCATCTGGAATATCTTTCGTTTTCAATGATGGGCGAGTTTTGCGGTGATCTTTTTTCGGCAGTTCACTATTGTGATTTTGTAATACTCCTCTTAATTTAGTTTCACTAATTCCTAGAGCATCGCATACGTGTTGTTGTACAGACATTACCGATTTTAAAGAAGCGCTATTTTCTTTTTCATCCGTAAAATACTTATGTTCACTACAAATTAGACTATCTACATCTAACACACGTCTAGGCATTTTTAAAATTTCCACTAAATTTACAATATACATACAATGTCAACACTTGCAAAAAATCATTTCAACTGCAATATTTGTAACAAATTTAGTACCTACCCTAATGTTATTTTAATTTAAATCTGTCCATTAGGGCAATTTTACCTAATTTCTTGGGAAAGGGCCTATTGGAACTGGTTGTCAATGACTAATTTGCATAATTTTGTTAATCCAAAACCCGCGTAAGTATAGCGAACAGACTGTAGGGGATGTGATTATTGGAATGTTTGACTAGGCAGGCACTTGGCGCAGGTGTTCTTTTATTTACAGAGTTTGGTTATGATATATTTTATTGAAATAACAAAATTAAAAAAAACACGAAATATACATTATCAGGAATTTATAGATTTTAGTTTATTTCATTCCTAAACACATCATTATAGCTTTGATATTTTTATAGATTTACTTGTGCATGATTAGTTATATTTACAAAATATTATTAATTATTTCATGATGAATCAATCATCACAGGTTAGTAATTTATTATAAAGGACTGCATATTTTACTCTATAGGGATCTTTAATTCGATAAAAAAGATGCATGATCAAAGTCTTGATAAAAATTTAGAATCATCATATTATGTAAGAATGCATGTATAACTACAGAATATACACCAATCAGAATATTAAGAGCACTCTACTAGCTACTTTTTTAAGTTTTTCATCCTGTCAATAAATTTAACTATTGACTATACCATTATGGCAATAAAATTGCACTGATGGGATTACAACCACTGATCCAGATACATCTCTACGTCCTTTTATTTCTAAAAATAATAAATGCAAACATGAACCAAATACATTGAACTAACAATACCTCTGGAATTTACATATGCCATATGACACTGAGCGACTCAATGTAATTTTTTTTTTTTGTTCGTCAAGAATTGACTGGGTGATTGTTTTATGAGACTAGCGCTGGTAAACTCTCTTTAATAGGGCTTCTTTCTTTACATGCAGCGAGCTATTTTTTTAATTAGGTAACCAATGAATAACTTTAAAAACTAATAATAAATTAATGAAAGTCAACTAAAAACGAATAAGGTAAGTTGGGGTAAGTGCGTATAGAAATTTGACTAGTTCAACTTTAAGGAGATGCCACTTCGGCAGGTGAAGTTGAATTTAAGATCTGTAAAATCTGTGCACTAGGTACATTCAAACTGTATAGGTTCTCAATAAAATGAAGTTTTTATGACAAAGTGTCGCATTTACCCCAGGTAGTTGGTGTAAGAGCGGCACCACCTTTCATTTTCAATACCAGTTGTTGTTTTAGTTTGAGGGCAAGTGCATCCATCCTGAAATGTGTAGAAATCAAATAGTCCAAGATCCCAGAGCGATAAGACATAACTTATTTTCTAAAAGTTGAAACTTTAAATTCTCAGTAGTGTCTCATGTACTTTGTATACCTGCGTATTTGTGAAGTTTGCCCAGTGACACCTGGGCAAGTACCAGGTGAGAAAGGTGACTAAAAATAAGAGTTACTTAACTTAAATTTATATGGCTGATTTTTATATATATTTAATAGAATATCATTCTCAAGTAGTATCGCAAGTATCAGACACTTTCCATGAACCAAAACTTTTGTCAGACGCTTTAAAGCTTCACCAAAAATAAATGAACTTTACTTATTTTTTAATGTCTGATTTTTGAATATGTTATCGAGATAAATATTACAAAATTATATTTAATCAGTCAGACAAATTGGAATGACCAAAAGTCCCCTAAACACAAAAATTATTCGGCCGTGAGTACGAGCGCGAGAGCATTATGCATGCGTTTCAGAGCGAGTGAGACGTCCATAGTAACCCGGTTCTCCTTCTTTAACTCACATTCTATTTTAGCCTACTGTGTATGTGCGCGCAACGTATAGTATACATTAGTATAGTTCGGATCTCTAAGAGCACATGTTTTTATTGTTTACATCGTGTCAGTTGTGAGCTAATTACATTGCTAGCATATGGAATAATGCAAATGAAAAACAACCAACCATCTTTACTCCTGAAAATAATGGCTGGACGTTAGAATAAAACCAGTATTACTTTCATTGGTTTGATGGTGACCAATTACCAGGAGACGTCAGTGAAGCACTTCAAGATCCAGGTACTGTACTTTAACTTTAGGTTTACAATTTATTTATTGTTTTATATTTGTAGTTTTATGTTTTGTAATTCTTTTATTTGTTTTTTACAGAAGAAGCTGACAGCAACGACAACAACATAAATGATGACGATGAGAATGATGACTCGAATGGACAATATGACTGGCTCAATAATAAAAATTCTAATGAGGATTTTGATGATGATGATTAAGGACAAT